ACCAATAGATGATCTTAAAAAAAAAAAAACGGAAACAAGAAACTTTGCAAACAATCATGAGAGCGGCAAGGATGATGGGGAAAAAACAGCAAAAATTGTGACTGAGCATAATGGAAAATGTCACATTGTGAGGAAAAAACACCTAAAGAATCTAGTTGTAGTCTTATACATAGTGACCCTGCAAAAGTCACAGTCTTTGTAAAATCTCAGTCTGAGACAAGTCTGTGACTAAAACCTCTATAACTTGTCTCTAAATGTGAGCAGGTAGGAGACGATAGTTTCTCAGGGGACATTTCCAAATCTTCTCAAAGTCTTCTGATGCATAGATAGCTTTAGTGACCCCCTCAGGGTTGTGTCAGCCGCAGGTAGAGGCCCGACACAGCGCCACTGCTAATGTCAAACCCGGTGCCATTAAGTCTTCAATAAAAGTAAATGTGACGTTCAGTTTTCCTTTATCATTGATATTAATTTCACCTTGGTTTCTGGTTGTTGAAATAAAGTTATTCTTTATAAAATGTATTCTTGTTTCGTGCTTGGAATGGATTAACTGGATTTACATGATTTCCTATGGGAAATATTATTTCTCTTTTCATATAACTTGTTTTTAGTTTGATTTTTTGGGGGGAAACAGCCTAATCACAAAATCTGAGGTTCTACTGTAGCTTTACATCAGCTATCGTCAGCTACATTCGACTAGTTGTTTGGAGCCGAGAGAAGATCGAGAAACGACCTATAGCTTTTTTAATTAGAGCCCTTGGCTAAATCTTATCCGTGCGAATCAATCAAGCCCGGCTGACAGCGAACCCATCAAAGCTGCTTCTAAACGGCCCATTACAGAGGAACGTCCAATTGAAAGTGGATGGAAAGAGCTTCTGTTCCAAACGGCATTTTCTCTCAGGGGCAAATTGACTTCAAGAGCTATTAAGCCAGAGGAACATGAAACCATAGGACATATAGGTATAACAGTGGGTGATATACAGGTTCAAAAACAGGCGGAGCCAACAAGAGATACTACAACAACAAACACATAGATTATAAACTTATAACGTATGGCACGTTCATACTACTTCAACCAAATGACAATCACCATATGACATTCAATGTCTAAAAAAAAATTAACATTCGAGCCGATAAAGACGAACACATCAATGTACGACAGACTGGACACTTTGAAAGACAGGCCCCTAACACCTGATTAGCACTTCATGGCGTGCTACTTTCCGCACATAACGACGTGGCTGGTTGTCTAAACAGTTTAAGTGCTTTATTTCCGCGACAAGGAACAAAAATTACCTGGTTAGGTGACGATATTTAAAGCGAGCTGAGATTGAAGCAGTCCTGAAACGCCGGCTGTCAAGCGGAGGTGTGCAGAGGAGAAAGGCTTCCAGTATCGACCTGCGTCTTTCAGCCGGAGAGCTCCTCGCGCCAAGTGGGCTAGAGATGCTGCTAACGTGAATGACAAGGACCAGTCAAGTCGGCGGAAGAGAAAAAACGTACACATCCCGTTGTGATTTTTCAGAGTAAAACCCACGCAGCTCATTATTCATGGAACGCGTTTTGAACAGCATTGACCTGACTCAACATGTCTGTCTCAGTATTTCCACCGATTGTCGACAGGTTTGACTTTCCCAGCGTATTCGCCGGGATAGTGTACTGTACGTACACACTATTTACGATCGTGTTCTTATTCATTATTCATAATCTGTCATTTGACACCCAACTCATGCTATTCGCGCTAAATTCAGTGTTAAATAATTAATCGATCACGCCTGACGTTGGAGCATACCGGCGGCGAAAAACAGGTAGTCGTGACCCGAGGCCTTGCGGCGAGAGGCATGTTCTCAATATGCAATATCAATCATTCGAATTAACCTCTAAATGTTCACGAAGCTCGTTGCAACTACAGATGAAACAAATATATCGCCCCACATACACATATCACAGATCTCCATGCACCCTTTGTTGTGCGTGGACGCCCTGAGCAGGCAATCGGTGCAAAATGCAGCCTAATTAAATGCGAGTACGAGCAATTACCCCATAAAAATAACAACTGTTACTTTACAGCGGTTCCCAGGAGAATAACACGAATGTTTAATCGTGAGACGGGTTTGTCTCGTAGCCGATCAGCCAATTTTGGTCATCTTGCCTCCAAACCAACCGTGTACACAAAGCACTCACATTCCTCGCTGGTGACTCACCTTCTTTTCTTTTCCCCAAATTATCGGCAAAGTAAAAAGATCAATGAGGGAATTCCACGACGAACACTTTCACCCACTTCAAATACTCCCAAAACCCCAAAGTCCAAACACTTTGCACTTACCGGAAGCCATCCCGAGCTGGGCATGGTGGTAGCGGTAGTCCTTGACTCAGGCTGTGGCTCCTGCGTAGCCGCTGTGAAACGCTTAGTATCTGTGTCGTAAACACTACATTACCCAATGTGCATTGCGACCAGCCAGCAATCCGAGTTGGGAAGAGGGTGGATAATTGTTAGCCAACTTCCTATCTTGAGTAGTCGGACGACCGTCGAGGTGATTTCTTCGACTACACTTTTCACAATGAGGAATACCGTGGCTCCAATTTCACAAATACACCGAGAAGATTTAACTCAGATATGAACCGTTTCAGACCTACAAATAGGAATAAAGGCAATATTGTTTTCTCGTGACTACAGCCATTTAGCTCTTGACTATATTACAAGTTCACATAGATCTGGTAAATGTCGATTATACGTGCATTGCCATTAGGATCCTTTTCAATGGATTAATCGAGGAGTGAAAACGAAGCTATTTATGTCAACATCGGATCGGAGCTCTTCTGGCTCGACGTTGCTACCTACTGGTCAGATGGCGTCATAGCAGACCTCTATTTGCCGTTTCCCATCCTTTGTTGGGCCAAAACACCCATTTCAACTTAGAAAAATCTCACCGCACACCACCGAACAAAAATGTCACGAAAGTATACTGAAATAAGAATGATCTATAATAACGATCTCATCTCAATTTACTCATAGTGTGACTGATTCCATGTGAAATCTGTGGCTGCATGATTGAGCACAAAGCTGATATTCTGCAGGAGGCCATGACTCTTTCAGCCTAGTGGATATGTCAGAGACATGTCTTTTAAATTCAAGTGTTATTATCCTGCTCTAAAAGGAACATGATGTTCAAATTCCTGGCTGAGACAGGCAAACAGCAGGATACGCCAGGGATTCTAACGGGAGAGGCACCGAATGCTGTTTGCGGGTCCTACTGATAAAATAATTCACAGTATAAAATTCAAATATTATCTTTGGGTTGTTATGGTATTACTGTATATTGACTGCTCCAACTGACATGACTGCACTGCAAAGGTGAGGAACCTTTTGCCCCGAGGCCCTATCCAGCCTGCAAGAGCATGTGATGTAATTCTTAACCATAAATACAAACTCAGAGTAACCTTTATTTTGGACAAACAAATACTGTCAATCCTTTGTAATCAACATTTATAGGAATGTTGTGTTATTATTTTCAGTACATTTAGTGTGCGCAACAAATGTTGTAGTTTATCTCTGAGTGATAAAGTATATGATAGGTAAATGTATTGAATGAATCTTTATTGGCCATCAAGTAGAGTGTCTCATCTAAAATGGCTGTCGTAATCAAAGGCACATCTATATACTGTAATGGACCACACCAGTGGGGCGTTGAAGCTATTTACCAGTTTCACCAGTTTAATGATTTTTAAAATAACATTTGACATGAACACAGTGACTTTAAAATTTCCCTTTGAGGATTACAATGAGTATAGTAAATTCAAATGATCCATCCATCTAAAAATCTGAACTGCTTTTCCTCATGAGGGTGGGGGGCGTGCTGGAGCCTATTCAGGCTGTCTTTGGACTTTAGGTTTTTAGCTTCCGAACGTGCACTTGACACCTCTGGTGCCCATTCATCCATTTTCTGTATGGTTTATCCCGTTCAGGGTCATAGGAACAATGAAAATCACTTATTCAGTCAAACAGCAAAAGCAGGTTAGCACGCACGGTATGCGCATTACAAGCAATCACACAGCAAAAGGCCATTTTGCTGTATGTACCAGCCATTCATCCCCTTGAGCAAAGTGACTGCATTCTTTGCTTGGATCCTTGTGCAAACAGCGCTTGTACTGAATCTGAATAGCGAGTAAATTGAATATTGATTTAGTGGAGAATTCCGGGATTATTCATCCATCCCGGGCCTCCTTTTGAAGTCACAGATGTGTTCGCCATTCCCCGTATGCAGACCGATGGGGATGGTCCACCCTTGCCCCCCCCCCTTTCCCAAAACGCTCGTCACACATTGAACCCTTTGAATCATTTTTCTCATTGACGCAGTACATTTTCCTAAAGCAAACGAGAAAGCTCAAAGTTGGAAATACAAGCGAGCAAAATGTGCTTTATATAAGGGCATCTGTTTATTCTCGTTGAAAAAAAATCATGTAAATTCACGATACGGCCATTCACAAATCAAATCAATAATCAAATACAAGTATTGTGACATTTGATTGAATCTCTCTTCTGGTTCATTCGATGGAGTTCGTACAAATTTAATAAACCTGCTGGGTAGGAAGCAGTGCAGAGAGGTTTTCAGGTAAACTCTGAATGATTAAGAGGTGCTGTACTGTACACATTTGAATGTCCTTTTTACCATTATGAACGACACGTACCCCGAATTGGCACGATAACTTATTTTACAATATAATGAGTAAAATTGCGTGAACTGTAAAACTTTCCTGACTTCCATGTTCTTCATGTGTGCTGCTAGTTTCTCAGATGGTTGAGGCAAGACCTTGACATCTGGAGGCAAAGTGCTCTGGACCTGACAGTTCTTATCTTCCGCATCAGGTTTCAGCTGTGTGTTTGCAAGACGTCTGTCACCTTCCACACATTCCTTGGACGGACATCCTCGGGGTGTTTCCACTTCTCCTGGTCGGAATCACCTGTCAGCTCGTTTCCTGCATCGCCGTCTCAGCAGCATCATTGTCCTCAGAGACTTTTTTTTTCCCTCAGTCTGATGCACTGTAGACTTTCTTGGACCCGCTAGTCACACCTCTGAGGGGACACAAAATGATTCTGTGAAAAGAAGTCATCAAAGTTTGTTGCTTTGGAATTTTGAGCTTTTTTTTTTTTGTTTTTTTTTACAGCGTATGGAAATAACATGTCCTTCAAGGGTGTGGACTGTACTATTATTTTAATTTCGGAATTTCAGGGGTTACGTTCTAGGTTAAAAGGTGACTTAGAGCATTTTCTTGTACAATTAATAAATGATATATGATGAAAACATTGCACTTTGGGACAAAATAATTCCATTTCCATTATTTGCTATGGAGAAAAAGCACGATAATTCGAACAAATCATTCAGCGCCCTGGAAAAAAATCTAGATGTATTAACAGCACACAATACCTGTATATTTTTTCTTAGTGTCCTTGTTTGACATTAACATTGAACACCTTATCTTTACGGGCTCACTAAAATGTTTAAAATTAACCGCGAAAAACCCACTATTCCGCAGAGTACTCTTCCTCTGTGCAGTACGCGAAATAAGGCGGACTTATTTGTTTCCAATCTCACAAAGTTGCCGAGTCAACTATGACCAAACATTTCTTCCCTGTGTGGCCTTTATTTTGATGAGCAGAACCCGAAGCGTGTGTACATCGAGCGATGTAAAAAACAATGGCGATGAAGAGACAAAGGATGATAATAGAGTTATAAACAAGCCATACACGAATAGACTTCGTGTATGGCTTGTTTATAACAGCCCTCCAATATGGCCGCCGGTAGTGCATTGTGGGTAATTGCTAAAAGGACGGAGCCCTCTATACACTGCACCACTATGAGTCATCGCCATGGGAAAATATTTACTTAATTAAAAAAAAACCCGACAATACGTCTTAAAATTTTAACTGAGGCCTTTAATTAATACCTGATGTACTCACCGTCGATAGCAGAAACGAGTGCAGATTAGGTCGTCGAGGTTAGCGCAAGTGCACCTGCCTGCAGACCTCGGTTGTCGTGCCTTAGCGCCACCGAGGCCATAAAGTGTTGTCTTACTGCACAAAGTCACAACGATAGTGTGCTGTAAGCAAAGACTTTGCTCTGACTTTGCACGCCCAACCTTTTTAATCATAGATCGTTAAGTAGATTTAGTTTCAAAGCACTAGAGTCACTCATTCACTTCTTCATACTCACCTGGGCGTATTGACCCAAATAATATCCAGGTGGCAGAAGTAGAAGCACTCAGAGTCGTGCACACTGCTACATGCGCAACGTTTGCTTCTTAACTTCGCTGCTCTGACATCGTGATGGGCATCCGCGTCATGGCCCTCCATCAGTGGGCGCCCACAGCCTGTTCGTGACAAAAAGATGCCCATTCATCACAACTGCAGTTTGAATCCAGTCAAGCAAAACATGTTGAAGTCATGAAGAAAAAAACAAAACAAAACAAACATGCATTGTTCTTTTTAGCAGTAATGCTGATAGGAGGTTTGACATGTTGTAATATGTTCTGGATCATGTTTTTTTTCCCCTTCCATAGATGGATTAATATGGTAAGGAAACATATTTTGATACCTCAAAGTGGAAACCACAGTACTACAGGGCAGTACAACGTCAGTACAATATATTGGTATGTATAATAACAGTCAGTTGAAATGTTGAATTTCCAATTTGTGTGTGTGTGCAATGTAGTCCACAAGTTAAATTTGCTTCTGAACTTTGCCCATCATCACTGAGACGCTGGCAAAGCTGATGCAGTGCATGCACCTTGTGACATATGTACCATTCCATAGCAAGAATGATACATTGTAGGATATTTATGAAAAAGTTGACAAAGACGATAAAAGTGCACTCACCATGCTGCAGAGACACCCAAAGTGTGATGAGAAGTAAAATGGTGATGTGAGAGGACACATTGGTCGGCAGTGCACTCAACTGTGTGGTCATTACTGTGTTGTCACTGTGCAGCTGTTGCGTTGGTGTGACACTCTTAAACCACTCCTCACTCTCTTTAATGATGTCATACCAACAGCTCCGCCCACAGTTGCATGGAGGTGCCATGGAACCACAACGGGTGATTTTTTCCCCCCCCCCCCCCCCCCGATTCATTCCACAGTCCATTGCAAATATTTTCATAGTTTTAAACTTTTGCACTTGTGTGGTAGTGTAATATTTTTCCAATATAATATGACCTCCTCATAGAGTGCCATTCAACAGCTTTATTTGAGATGATCTTGCTATTGAATTCTGCCTGTTTTGTGCAGTATCACGAATAAATGGAGCGTGCGTGTGTATAACTCATGAGTGACGTCTATGCTGCTCTTACACAAAGTATGATGCATCCCAGGGGTAAGCCATTTGTATGAACATGTGCACCATTGATTACTAATGTCAGCAGTCAGACACCATGCGCATTCAGAATTAAATGATTGATGTTGAACTGTCTGTAACACGGTGAATCACCTTTTCATGGTCTAGACTCTTACTGTGGACTCTGCCTTGAAATTGAGTCATTTCCTTGCTTTATGAATTTGACGGATTTTCCCTCACTAATGTGTTGATCATGACATTTTTTTGTCACTACTGTATGTGAAGCCCATTTAGTTCATTTGTGCATGAAATGCATGATATAAATAAAGTTGCATCGCCTTGCTTTTAACAAACTATTGTTGTACAGGTCACATGATGTTTTTTGAATAATCGTATGTGTGTGTGTGTGTGTGTGTGTGTGTGTGTGTGTGTGTGTGTGTGTGTGTGTGTGTGTGTCGGGGGTGGGGGGGGCGTTAATAGGGTTGTTAAAGGCCACTCTACTGTACATGTTTCCTGTAAGTACATAGAATTCCCATCATAATTGGAGAACACATTACTCTTCACATCACGATGTGTGGAATGTGTGACATGGCCACACAGCATCATGACTGCACATGTTTGACAACACATTCTTGCTCGGCAGGTTACAAGTTCAGTTCACTCAGGAGTGCAGATGTGCTGCTCTCCAGGTACATCCCATCACTTTAAGGACACAGGCCGGATAGCATGCAACAGTTTGGATACCAATGAAGAGGGAAAAGAAGCAGGTGCTCAGTGTCGCCGTTCTTGCTGTTGTGTATTTTCTATAATGCCTCCATGGAATGTCATGTCACAGCAAGAGTTAGTTTTACGTAACCTTGGAACCCGAAACATTTTAGGAATGTTTTATGTATGGACATACTATCATGGTTTGGCTCTTCCTGTGTTTGTTTTCAGCATCAGCTGGAGTGGAGGGCGTGGCTCTTCAGCAGGTGCACCTGTGCCTTGTTACCAATCAAGCCTGCCATGTATTTAAGGACTGCCAAGCTGCCTAGTCACTGTCAGATTATTGACCTTGCTTGCTCTTTATGCTCAAGAGACGTTTTTAGACGTTCCTTTCATGTTCATAGTTCTGATAGATTCTCGTTTTTAGATGTTCCTTTCATGTTCATATTTCTGATAGATTCTTGTTTTGTGAGTATTTTGGTTTGTTAATAGCTTCTGATTCAAGTTTTGAATGCCATAAGTATTTGGACTTATGGCATTTCATTGTGTGTATTCGGATTTCCATTTTATCTTGCCTTTTACAAGCGCTTTTTGTTCTTATTGGATTTTCTCAGTTCTTTGTTACCTGCGATTTCGGTTTAAACTTTGTTGGTCCTGTAAAGGCTATGCTAATGGCTCAACAACAAACTTACCTATGAAATAAAAGAAAAACATTAGTCTTTTTGTGATACGAGTAACAGAGTTGGATTGGTTTGAGTGACACACTCCATTTTGGCTGAAAAGAAAAATATATAAAAAAATAGAAGAGAGGACTTACATCCTGCCAGCTCTTGGGCAAAGCATTTACAGTGGCTTGATAATGTCATTTCCTCTAGGTCACTTTTTTCTTACTCTAGATCAGTGGTTACTAACCTGGGTTCGATCGAACCCTCGGGGTTCAGTGAATCAGTCTCAGAGGTTCGATGGAGCCTCTGCCATGGAGGTTAAGACACACCCGACTCAACATGTCAATTCGTTATGACATGCCCGCTTGGCCATCACTGGCTGGTTCATTTTGAGCACAGTTAAAAAAAACTTATACTTTATGCTTATACTAATTGTGTTTACTTTTTCCTGTTTTTAATAAACACGTTTTTTTATGTCTTGAATTTGTAAAAAACGAATTTTTATTTTTCACTAATGAAGGTTTCGGTGAATGTGCATATGAACTGGTTGGGTTCGGTACCTCTAACAAGGTTAAGAACCTCTGCTCTAGAAGATAGATAAAAAGGTTTTTGCCACAGATTTGCAACTATGTCGAGAAAGGCATGACTTCAGAGCATAATTACAACTAGGACTTAGATCAGAATCAAATTTATTGGTCAAGTATGTAAAAAAACACACAAGGAATTTATTTTCCCAGTTACAACCCGTCATGAGGCACATAAACAAAATTATGACCAACTTGGGGAGACGGAACCGGAAGCCTGTTTTGTCAATTAGAAAGGTGTATTGTGGTCGTCAAGAGACGGGGATAAAAAAAAAAAAAGCCATTTGAGGGGTGCATGATTTTAAATATCGAGGAATCACGTTTAAGCCAAAGTTACATTTGCATAACACATGAATTTTTCTGTATTTTGCCCATGGATTACTATAAATGTCCTAAAATGTCAAATTCTGGAATGGCCTAAATGATAAAATAGAAATGCAGAATTTGGAAATATCCAAAATAATCTATCTGGAAAGAGCCCATTTGGAAACATGTTTTTGATATTCACTGACAGCCACTTTCTACTTTCAAGATGCATGGGATGAATGTTCACGATTGAACAAGGACCTCTGGTGGTCAAACTTGTCTTGTCACGTCACGTGCGGAATGAGAAAAATAGAAAGTGAAGAAAAATTCACGTTACCTTGTCAAAATGCACTAGCTTCTTTCCGTGAATGGCGTTAGATGTTTGCGGGGTCTGCTTTTCAAGTCACTATTCAACATGAATCCTCGGAAAAAAGGAGGATGGCTGGGGGTCGGGGTTGTTCAACGTATTACAAAACACGAATACAGTCCAAGTCAAGGCTATTTGACAAATGTGCCAACATTTTTAAAAAATCCATTTGAAATTTACTTTGTAAATATTTTCAATACGAAACGTTGAACAATTTCCATTCTTCGCATTCATGCTCAAGATGTACAAAAAGTGAACCACAACGATCCTTTAATACTCAATTAAAAAAAAAAAAAAATCCTGTCACCCAACTTCCCAACATTAACTAAAAAACTACCAGAGCACAAAATTTTGGGGGTGGCGAGATGCAAGGACACCTAAAAAAAAAAAAAAAAAAAAAAAAAAAAAAAAAAAAGCAATCACCCCACAATATTGACTTGTATATTCAGTATTGTTACACATATGGGAAATGTAAGTAAAAACTGTGTACAAGATATAAAATGTTGACACACTCCTGTTGAAATGGCAGGTTTTTGTGATGTAAAAGATAAGAGACAAAGTAAAATCCTTCTTACCGTTTCCACCTTTTACGTGACCTAAGCTGTACAACTCAATTTAAAATGTTCTAAAAAAATATTTCATCCGGGTAAGTGAGAATAAACAACTAAGATGTAGTTGCAAAAATGAGCATGCCCTCTTATAATTTTCATTGGGCTGTTTTGGAATTAATCAATCACATTCAAACTTAGGTTAAATGCAAATCAGCACATGCCCTGCTACCATTTTCAGTGCCAATGACTGCTTTTCAAACCGACACCTGTCGATAGTGGAGCAAACGTGCTAACCACTCATCCAATTACAATCAAACACGTTATATCGTCATCAATGCACATTCTGATTTGTATTCCTGATATTGTACTGGATTTTTTTTTCTGTTAGACCGAGTTGTGTTTTGTGAGAAAAGTCACAGTTTGCAATTAGCAAAAAATGTATAGTCTGCATTTCGTATACACAAGTGTTGTCAGTAGGGTGAACTACACTAAAGCAGTATACAGCCAATGAATAGCTGCAAAACATGAATAAGGTCACCCCAAAAACATGGGGAAATTTGTTTCAGTTTGATACAAATCACTTTTTGGTCATACAATGTATGTTGGTTGCACATCACCAAAAGTAAAGGAGACCCATAGTGGTGACTTTATGCCATAAAGCATTTGCTTTATGGTGTATTTTTTCTTCATATGAAATAGGGGTAAATTTGGCATCTTCGTGTGTATCCTAGAAAGTAAAAAACAAAAAAAACATCACTTTTATGCATTAAGTTGACCAAATTAACGAAAGAATGGCTTCAAAAGTGATGACTTTCTTTTGAAAGAGCCAGGACGTGCCATACGGATAAACTGCTACTAAAAAAAAAAAAGAACTGATTGAAAATTGTAACAATATGAACGTATGAATTAATGTAATGAAAATCCTTTGTTTTTTTTGCTTGATAACCTCGCATTTTACTGGGTGGTACTGACTTTTTAGAGACACAGTATTTCTTTTGGGGGGGAGGGGATACACTTCCACTCTCGATTCTAAGTGTATAAAAAGGCAAAACCAAAAGGGTCTTTGGTGCACTATTTTTTATTTTTTTCCGATGACTGCAAATTTTGTTGCGTGTTAAATTTGCAGGGCACTTGATCCGCCAGAACCAGTCAAGCTACATCCCTCATCTTTGTCCCCAATTCAAATTGCATGAACATCATGAAAAAAAAAAGTAATAAAAAGAAACATAGTTTTTCCCATTTAACAAAGAGTAAAAAATAAAACAACAATCGTTGTCATCAAACAGCAATAAATAAGGAGCGCTCTTCCCTGTAAAGACATTTCTCATCCAAAGTCTCTTACAATAAAAAATAGAACTTCAGTGCATTTCCTTTGACGAGTTTCTGCTGCTCCTTCAACATATCAATCGATGTGACTCTTGGTTACCCTGGAATTAAAGCAAGACTATTAAGAACAAAACAGAACACCGAATATAAATCTTCCTTAAATGACACAAAAGTCCAATATAAAATTTCACAGCCTTCTCATTTTCTATCTGTACAATACGCCTCAAAACACAAACCTGGACAGAAAAGGCACAAGTAACTATAATTGTAGGAATACTGGGGGGTGGGGGGGGGGGTTGAAACAGGTAATTAATTTTGATTTAAGATTTTGGTCATTTACACATGTTCATATTACTCTTGACACATATTCAACCAGACAGTAGCATGACCAGCATCAATAGAGATACAGGAAGGGTATAATCATATATAATTCTTGTATATACATTTACAGAAACATTATTTTCACAAAGAAAAAAAAAAGTGCATTTTTATGACAAACCTGAATATTGTCAAAGAACAAACATTTAAGTTAACAATAGTATTGAAAACTGTATAAAAAAAAAAAAAAAAGAAAGCCATTGGAAAACAAGACGAATGTAGCGACTGAAAAAGCAAGTTGGAGATGCATCAAATTAGGTGCTCTGGTCTTCTCTAGCCGCGTCCTCTGACGCTGTGCCCTCAGCCTCTAGCTGCTGTCCAATCAGGCACAAAGATACAGGGGCTGCTTGACTGAAAGATGCCTCCGAACGTCCGTCTTCAGTGTGGCGTTCGCTCGACTCCGTAGCACGCCTGCACGTGTGGGCGGAGCTTTGTGAGCTGCCATATTGCTTTGAGTCCGTGGTCTCCAACTCCAGTTTGGAACACATGACTTGTGTACCCATACTGCACTGTCTTGACTGGCTGCCTCCTGCTGCCTGATAGTCCGCTGACCAGTCACTCCCGGGAGTCCTACTCCCTTGAGGTCCTGGGGTCCTGCCCCAGAATGAGTCAAGCCTGGCCGGCGATGGCCCCTCCGTGGAAGGAGACATCGGGGACATGGGCGTGGAAGGATTCGACCTTGGTCTGGCTTGTACCATTTGAATCCCTCCGATGGGAATCATCAGATAAGGGACCTTGGCTTGTTGGGAGTGCATGGGAAGATGGCTGAAGATATTGTCCGCTGCTCGGTGGCCGGGATAACTCTCGCATGTGGAAAGACGAAAAGCAGGCGGGAACAAGAAGGTGTCTGCCATTGAGTGACAATCCGTTGCAGTGCCATCTTTGTCCTGAAGGGGGAAACACAGAAACAAGCATTTTGTGAATGTCGTTTAAACTAGTGGTCCCCAACCACTGGTCTAGCCATTTGGTCAGGGGCATCATAGACAGGGTGGCGCAACACAGAGGTTGGGGGGGGGGGGTGCTATAGCCACATCAGAAAACTGCGTAGCCCCAGTTAAGCCCTTCTAGCATTTTATTTTATATTCTAAAATATATTCATCAATTCTTTTCTCAGCCCCCCTCCCCTACATATTGGTCAAGCTCCTCTTTGGCCCCAGGAGAGCAAAAATCCTGGAGCTGTCCCTGAAAACAAACAAACAAACAAACAAACAAACAAACAAACAAACAAACAAAAACCAACGGACACCATATCTTCATTTATAGCGACAGACGTAATAATTAGCCACAAGATGGCTGGATATATCATGTAATTAAACTGTGTATCCACCTGTTGCCAATTAAAATAACAGAATAACTGGGGGGGGGTGCTATAGCCACATCAGAAAACTGCGTAGCCCCAGTTAAGCCCTTCTAGCATTTTATTTTATATTCTAAAATATATTCATCAATTCTTTTCTCAGCCCCCCTCCCCTACATATTGGTCAAGCTCCTCTTTGGCCCCAGGAGAGCAAAAATCCTGGAGCTGTCCCTGAAAAACAAACAAACAAACAAACAAACAAACAAACAAACAAACAAACAAACAAAAACCAACGGACACCATATCTTCATTTATAGCGACAGACGTAATAATTAGCCACAAGATGGCTGGATATATCATGTAATTAAACTGTGTATCCACCTGTTGCCAATTAAAATAACAGAATAAAACCGTAGATCCCCACTATTTGCCGGGGAAAAGGACTGGGCCGGCCCACGAATAGCTAAAATCTGTGTAGACATAATGCCTATTACAAATGAATTGAGGAAAAAAACATCTCTCTCTCTTTCTCTCTCTCTCGTAGAAAACTTCAAAGTGGTTCATACGCCTCGATAGTTGTTCGAACATATTGGTGAAATGCAGGCCAAATGTTAAAAACTGTATTTGTTCACATAATGCCACACGGTATCCTGACAAAACTGTTTACTCCACCTTGGCAGTTCGAGACGTCCATAAATGTATCAGAGCATAGCAGGAAAAATTTGCTCTGTAGTGTCTGTATAGTAAAAATTGTGAGCAGCGTATGCACATGACTGAGGACAATAAATTCAAAGGACTTACTACTTTCATATGACTACCCTTTGCGCAGTGGTGTTCCCAAGGAAGGGTTCCGTGGGTCCTCTGCTGCACTCCAACCGGCAAGGGCGGAGTCCCAGCTTGTGATAACCTGTAAGAGCCTGGCAAGCTAGGACGAAGCGGCGAGACGGGCCTGATGGGAGACGGTCCTCTATCAGGGGAGGGTGACACTTGCCGGCTGGGTGAAGGTAGCTCAGTTCTTGGGGACAGACTGTGCATGGGTGAGGACAGCTCCAGGCGGGGGGAGAGGCTGTGACTGGGGGAACAGCTCTCGCTGCTGGGGGAGAAGGCTCTCGGTGATGCCTTCCAGTTCCATCTGGAGAACAGAGCTCTCCTGCTGCCCGGCGAGGCGGCTCGTCTACTGTGCCAAGCCCCTCTTTGGGAAGCCTCCAGGCCCGGACTGGAACTGAGACCGGCGGGCTCGGGCTCTGGTGTACACTGCCGAGAACGACCGCTGGATTTGGACCGACCCGCTGTTGACGCCAGGGTGTCCGACGAACAGGAGGAAGGAGGGTCATCGTGAGACTCTTCCGCATCATCGTCGTCGCCGTCATCATCATCATCATCATCATCATCGTCGTCATCATCATCCTCCGACTCCTCCGCGTTGGAAAACTGGTGCTCTTCCCGTTCCTCGGAGTAACATGCACGTTCACCGCTCCCTGCTGAAAAATAGAAACCCACTCTTAGTTACATCACTTCAATTCACATCCATTCCATTTTATTACCTACTATGCCAAGCATAAACTCGGTGAGATAATTTCTGCCGTGGGCTTATTTATTACCTCCACCCAGCAAGGATGGTGAGAGGAATGGAAAGCCATTTGAGCAGTTCTTCAGAACAATGTACTTGTGCACTTTAGCTCAATTGGTAGAGTTGCTTAGCCAATGACCAACGGGTTGGTGGTTTGAATCTCGCCTCCGATTGTACACTATGTCAATGAACAAGGATCGGCATGCGTAAAGGTTTTACCATTATGATGAAATAAAATGAGTGCGGTTGGTTGTCTACATGTGCCCTGCGATTGTCCTGTGCTCACTCGAAAACGCACGCGAAGCAACATACAAATTATGTGCAAGAACTAGCTGTAGGAACACAAAAGTAACAGGCTTTATCTGGCTGACAATCCATAACCCATCACAGCCGTGTTATAAATAGACTCTGGTTGAAAAGCATCACACTCCTATTCACAAACTATGTCAGGAGGGAATGAATGAAATCGCAGTAGAAACGGAGCGTCCTTGTATGTGATGAGCGCGGAATGACAGCGAAGAAGACGTGACGGCGGGAGGGCGATCAGAGGGAAATAATGAGGCGTTGCTGGTAAAGTAGACGCTATTGCGCAAAAACAAGAGCACCACGGAAGGCTCTTCATTCTTCATTTATTTATCTTGGGCTTTTTCCTTATGCGAGGGCGAAAGGTTGGGGAATAGTACATAGCGGTTGCGTAAGCTGTCAGTGCAGAACAGCGACACTTCTTCACCCATCGCCCCCCCCTCCACCCCATACCTGTTTCCTGGCTCTCTGGCTCATCCGCGGATGGTTCAGACACTCCCATTGCCTGGCACTTTTTCCCATGAGCTTTTGATTTCATGTGTTTGGTAAGGTTCCCTGCGAAGGGAACATGAAAATCACATTAAAACCTCCGCCAATTTCCACCGGGCAAGGAAAACTAGGACATTTTTCGACAACAGAGATAAAATGCAAGCAGTTGATGGATTTCATTTAACAGACAGAATAGTGGACAAACATGACAGAACTGAAATATCTCTTTCACCGTCCCCTAACCTTTGGTTTTGAAGGCAAAGTCGCAGTGTTTGCAAATGTACGGACGGACATCAGTGTGTGTTCGGATGTGCTTCTTCAGCATGCTGGGCTTCTTACAGCGGATGCCGCACTCCCCGCATATGTACTTTCCTCTGCCACGCCCTCGAACGTAAATATATTCTTCGTTAGACTTAAACCTGACAGACAGACGGGATGGGCATGCGTTATTGATACAGAAAAAAGAAACAACATAAAGTCAGAAATTCACAAAAGTAATGTTGCTTGAATATTTATACAAATCGCTCATCTCGCTGCCTGGATCCTCGACGGATGAAAAATATATTCGGACTTTCAAAACAGTCATCGTGGCAATCGAACGGGCTCGACTTTGACAATCATTAATAGTCGTCAAATTTGACGCCAAAGTTCACCGATTCGAAACCAAGCAGACAGAGAGCATCGAGTCTTCATCAGTGCAGGAAATCAATAATCACAAATCAAGACAAAAAATATCAACATAAGGCGTCGACCTCGCCAGACCACATTAGGTTCACCTGCACAATTGATTTGAGATGACAATAAATATCAGACAAATAAAAAGAATCATCAAATCAGTCGTGCGCAGTCAGGTCCTGCTCTGCTGATCTAAACGCCATCAAAAGTACTGACCTACATTTACAACTTATTTATTTCCATCGGTCTTTTGTCTTCATTTCATAGCTGGTGTCATGGTTGCTCAGCTTCCAGAAGTTGGTGTGTTGTTTTTTTTTTTTTCCCCGTCCAATCAGATTTCAGCTTCTGTGTTGCCATGTGAATAAAGTCTGCCCAGGGCAACTAGAATCACAAGCGGTCACGTAGGACAAGTGGTCACGAAGGACACACACGCTGCAGAAATTGCTGTTATTTATTTATTTCTAACCAATCGGCACCAATAAGATTTCACATTCACCACTCCACGCCATTGTATAGGATCAGCGTGATGTCACATTTTTCCATTCTCTGATTATTTGTTCACGGCTGGGCAAGTGGGATTCATTAGAGAAAAAAAAGGTGGACAATATTAAAAAACAACTCGCTAGCTTTCAGTATATTCAATTGCGTTTTCAAAAGAGGATCACTTTTGTCCATAAATAAAAAGGGTTGATTGAGTCCGATGCATTTGATTCATTTCATAAAGTTTTGGGGTTTTGTCATGTTATTGATGAATAATGATTGTGAACTGCTCTATTGAAATGTAGAAGTTTGGACTTGCAGTTGATATATGTGAAAAATAAAGATTACATTTTTTTTGTGAGAAATAAATGTATTCTTCCTCAAATACAGTCACGTTTTTTTAGTTTGTACTGCACAATAAGTGCTCCTAATATTTCGATTACCTTAATGAGGTACATGACAGGGGCAACATACTAGACCCGGCAAACTACTGTAATCTTTGGAATGTCATTGAATGGTGCAGGTGTACTTAATGCTGTGGCCGGCGGGGGTCTATTCCACAAAATACTGTCAAGGAAAAAAAACCCAAATACATCAAAGTAAAAACACACACATTTAAAAAGCAATTAACAAGACCTCGGGTTGAGGGTTAAAAGAGTAAATAAGACTGGTTTACGGGACATCTGCAGGAACAGCTGCTGGAGCTGATCACAGTGCTGTTTGTTGCCCCCATAAAACTTTATGCAAATGACGGACAACAAAAACGTGCTCGTGGCTACGATGGGAAGATGAAAGCGGATGTGGAACACTGCACAAACATTCAGCCAAATGCACGTGTACAGTATACACACACACACACACACACACACGCACACGCACGCGCACACGCACGCGCGCGCACACACACACGTACGCACAAGAGTTCTTGGAGAAACAAGTCCGTCTTTATAGAGGTGGATTGGTGATACCCACCAAATCCCTCGCAGCACTCAGTCTCATGCTGCTCCCTCCGCTACACCCTTAGCGCATACACGCACAACCACACACACACACACACACACACACACACACACAGATACATTATTAGCTATTTGTCTGCTCGGGTGGCCCTGCTGACCGCTAAAGGGAGGGAAGGGAAACCTACTTACGGCCCTCAACCTAAAATAGACACGATGCACCAATCAAGCAACACATTTGGGTCAACTCTATATAAAAGGTATTTATACACAATCCAGATGTTTACCAAAAGGTATTTTGTGGTCATCTGAATGAATTGTCGTCTTGTAAAAATGCTCACACACACACACACACACACACACACACACACACACACACACACACACACACACACACACACACACACACACACACACACACACACACACACACACACACACACACATACACACTCAAAATCCATTCTTATATTGTAAATACCCAATGTGTGCTGACTGTGTTTAATGAAAGGACATGAACCAGATTTGCAAGATGTCGGGCTGTCAATGCTTTCCATTGTATGCCAGCGGCAGCAACAGCAAATTCTATTAAAAAAAATAAAATAAAATAAAATAAAAATAAAAAGCACCAAGATAATCTCAACAGTGCTTTAGTGATTCAGGGGCGGGTTACTGTTTACTGACATGTATTTTCTAACCACAGCTAAAAATATCCTATGACATTTCCAGAAAAACAAGGCAGAAGCTGCACGACCACCAGGCTAGTTTTGTGCGGAGAGCATCACACCCAAACGGCAAATATGTTGGAATCACTCTGCTCCTTTATATTGTAATCATCGTTTGCTCCAAAGAGCAGTTTAAATGATAAATCCCATCAGCACATCGCATCAACACAAAAAGAAGAGACTGTCGATGTGGATACAATTTGGCAGTGATTACAACTTTGACAATGGGAATCAATTTGCACGTTGCCACACAATTAAAATGGAAATCGTTCATTTCTGTTCTCAAAGACAGACCTCGGAACCAACCTTGAGTTTAGTGAGGGAGCCATTCACAATTTAAAATATTCTCAAAAGGAAAGAGCAGAAGAAATGTGGACAGTGAAAACAGGTACGATAAATACTAGTGATTCGTCCGTTTTACATTTTTTTGTCATCATCAACTAAACAAAACTATTGGAAAGATTACCGGTATCTATATTCCACAATCCAACAAAACAAAGTTAGGTCTGATCCTCAACACTTCCCAAATCTAAATCTTGACACGAATCACAATACAGATAAACGCAAACACATTTTTGCTCTTCAACACTAAACTTGGCCATGAAATTGTCATCACAAAACATTACCAAAAGGAGTGGATCTTTAATTTGAACGTCATTGATGTAAAATGTTTATAAAACTTTAAAATAAATAAATAAATAAATAAGCGAGAGGAACAGAACGTAACTGGGGAAGAGTATTCATCTCATGTTTCACTACTAGCAAAGTAGAAATACAATACAATACAATACATCCTGATTGATATATCATTTTTACACTTCATTGACAGCTAATGGATAGTAATGGTCAACTGGATACATTTGTGGATGAACTACATAGAGAATTAACACTCATTTAATCCATAAATTGTATTTTTGACATATTATTTAAAAAGTAATAGAGGCTCGTGAGCTCCTGTTTCAAATGTCCTTTGTGTAGATGGCACTGGTCAACAGTAAATTTTAATCACAGATGGCTTTTTGTGTCCCGGAACATATTTTTGAAGCTGATTTGAAAATTGCCTTTACTTTTTTAAGGTTTTGGAGATATTTATATTTTTTGGTTTTGGATTTGACCTAAAAAGATTGCACAATAGGGCGGCCCGGTAGTCCAGTGGTTAGCATGTCGACTTCACAGTGCAGAGGTACCGGGTTCAATTCCAGCTCCGGCCTGCCTGGGTGGAGTTTGCATGTTCTCCTCGGGCCTGCGTGTGTTTTCTCCGGGTACTCCGGTTTCCTCCCACATTCCAAAAACATGCATGGTAGGCTGATTGAACACTCTAAGTTGTCCCTAGGTGTGAATGTGAGCGTGGATGGTTGTTCGTCTCTGTGTGCCCTGCGATTGGCTGGCAACCGATTCAGGGTGTCCCCCGCCTACTGCCCGAAGACAGCTGGGATAGGCTCCAGCACCCCCCGCGACCCTAGTGAGGATCGAGCGGTAACCTTTAATTAATAAATATTACTAAATGTATTACTGTTAAATATATCATTATTATGATGATGATGACAAACTGAAATGCGCGGCTGCAGCTTCACCTCCACACGAGCTGATGTCATGTTATCTTGTTTAGACAGCTAACTAGTAGCAGACTGCTGGTAGCAGTCAAGTAGTGCATTCCATTTTGTTTCTATTTCTTTATGACAAGATTAATCACCAATCAACTTGTACTGTTCTAGTTTTCTCATGAGTTGACCCTTTCCATCTGTTCTTCCTCTTGCTTTTGAATCGTGTCTATTTCTGGAGTTGCTTTGGTGTAAAGAGATCTACCGTACACCTCCTGGGTAAACCTTTGAGCTCAAACCAGAGCAAACCTTGCAAAAGACAGGCTCAACTGGAAAAAGATCACTGTTGCATTTATGGAAACTACACACACAGTTTGTGAACACAGTACAGTGAGCTGAGTAAACATTTGCAGGTTTGAAGAAAAGCGCACACACGCACACGCACACACACGCACACGCACACACACACGCACACGCACACGCACACACACACACACACACACACACACACACACACTCTCTCTCAACCCCAACATGACAATTGCGTGTATTATATAACTGGTGAATTCAGGCATTCATGAGTTTGTCGAAGAGAAGGCAGCATGCGCATGCACAAACATGCTGTTATCTTTCCAAATGAACCCCTCTGAAGCTCAGACTTGTGCCAGCAGAGAGCGGGGAAAATTTGGCAGCAGCTACAATTGCATCTATTCCCAGTCCCTATCCTTCCCTGTGCACTACTTCTGTTAACAGATTTTTAGATTTGCTTGTGACAGTGAATGCATGACCGCAACGGTTGAATGAGAAGCAATGGCTCTTACCCGCCTTCAAAGATGCGAACACGAGATGTTTCGCAGTGTTTTGAGGTGGAAGGTGCCTCCTCTTCCCTCGTCTCTTTATTCTCCTCCTTTTCATGCTGGTGGTCTGTTACATCCGTGGAGGAACAGGCTGGGATCGGATGTACCTGAATTCAAGACACAGTGGAAAAAGAGACAAGGTACATTGATAAATATTTTTGTGGCATTATATCCGCAGTATCTGAAAGTTACCTCCCAGGTCCATTAGATTCTCTGTGCTCTCTAAAACTAAACTGAAGCTAAATAGGCAATGGCAACATCTTTTTACACGTTTTGGACTAAAAGTCGGGGCTGCACAAAAGTGGTACGCCAGTGCGCATGAGCATTGGAAACAGAATTTTGCGCTCCAGTTCAAGTCTGTCATCGAGCTTTTGAACACTTATAGGTCAGGCCGGTCTCAAGTGAGCCACCGTAGTGATAGCTTCCGAGAGCCAACTTCAAAATAAAAGCTTCGTGAGGCATTGCTATCAATGCACACTAGTACTTGTTTCGCTTTTATGTAGAAGTTGATCCTCGCAACACATTGCTGAGTAGCCTATTAACAGCCATTGCGGCGGCTGACTTGACAAGGCTGGATCCTCGCCAACAGCTACATTCGCCATGAGACGATTGCTGAATGTGTGCAGGAGGGCCACCACAGCGAGACGGTTTGTCGAAAGACAGCCCGTGGTGCAAAAAAAGAGTGGACAGCGTACAGCTGCCTGAGAGAACTGTGCTAAGTATGCAAGCAGATCACAGGGTCCCATACTGCAAGTCCGAAGGGGGAAATTCATTTTTTGAACATGCCACGCAACTCAATTGCGTTAAATATGAATTTGATATCTTAAAATAAAACAGTAAATTATACTGACTAAATAGCAATGGTATATGTTGTTGGAATTAGGAAATGAAAACTGAAAAACTAAACACAAAAAAGTTTAATCTGTTATCGTAAAATGACTAACGATAAACCTAAATCTTTAAGTTCATCCGCGAGGTGGCTGGGTCGGGAAAAAAAAAAATGAACACCAAAAACCTCTGGTGCTCATTTGCGTACCATGCCAACATTTTTGTGCACACCCCTGCTAATTGTTTAAATGGCTGCCAGAACTCATTCAAACCACATTATCATTTGTTGCCATCATACAGTAACTAGATAGAGATCGTAATATTCCATATTTTTTATGAGGGTTTTTATATATTTTTTTTTACCTCTGACATTCGTGGAGCGCTGCTACTTGCGGGGGGATTTTTTTTGGCTGGGTTCGGAGCCGTGGCAATGGTGTACGTCTCTGAGCTATACTTCTGTTTGGAGCACAGCAGAGACAAGGCCACCTTAGTGCTGACACCTGGCAAGTTTGGGTTATGTCCGCTAACACTCCAGGAAGAGTAAACTGAGGTGCGAGGGTCCCTCTGTGTAGTTGGGTTGGGTTTGACATAGTTCAGGTAGCACCAGCTTGCAGAGGTTGTTGTGTGGAGGCTCGGGTATGAACGGGTGTTTGCTCTCTCGATCCCCATCTCCTTCATTTGAGGCTCCTCTTCCTTTTGACTTCTCACAATTGACTCTTCCACCTCTTTTTCCTCCTTGTTAATTTCCCTTTGCCTTGGATTCACCTCCCCCTCTTCTTTTACGGCGGTTACCGCAAGCGTCTCCGTTTTCTTCTCAACCTTTTCTAGTTGTTCCCCACCAGTTTTACTTTCTTCCTCCTTTTGTACCTTGTTGTCTGCATCTTTCACCTCTACTTCAGGCTTGTGTTGCTCCCCTTCTGCTTCCTCTTTAACTCTTTTCTGGTGACGTTGAGCCTCAGTACTGAGATCAAGACTGGCTGCAGGTGAGAGCATCCGTTTACTCCCTCCGGCTCCAAGTGGACCATATTCCTCGACAGAAGGTGACTGCAGTTCCCCAGGAAGGTTAATCTTAATGTCTGGTGTTGGGACCTTCAAATAAGACCTCTGTAATTTGCGCCTTTCCACTTTGCCCAGGATTGTCATGGTCGTGCAAAAAATGGGGTCCTGTGGACAAGCAGAGGTCAGAATCTGGGACAGGGTGGTGTACATGGCACGTGTATAGGTAGGTATGTGGGTTTGGAGGCGGACTGGTACCACAAGAGACACCGTTGGGGTAAGCTGTGCCACACACGTCGCAATGTGGGGGTGTGGGTAGGGGTAAGAGGTGCTTCCCTCTGTGGAAGGAGGAGATATAACCTGTGTGGAATGTAACGGTGTGGGAGGCAAGTACACAGACTGACTCACACTGAAAGGAAACTGGACAGGAACTAAAGCAGGAAGTCGGTGGAGTGGTATACCCATTTGTTCGGCCATGTGGATCTGCATTGGGTGTACCTGTAGAGGTTGAACAGTTTGTGAATGTAAAAAGGTTCTGTTCATGAACTGGGACGCCGTGGTGACTGGGAGTATCTGGGATAGAGGTCCTACATGTAATGTCTGTTGGATGCATTCATGCGGAGGAAGAATATCTCGAGGGAGGATCTGTGGCTGTAACAACTGCAAGACATTCCCTGTGTCCTCTTGACTGAAATGGGAGCTTGAATAGAAAAGAGGATGGCTTGAGTGAGAAGGCCCGGGCTTTGGACTCTCTGCTCTGGCCCCCTCCTCTTGCTCAGGTTCCCCTAAGGTTGCGTGCTTCACAAGAAGACACTTCCGTCGTTCTTTCCAGGAGGATGCTGACTGCTGAGAGGACAAGGATCCCAAGTCAAAAGATTTGCTTCTGGTATCTGTGACCTGCTCTGATTTCTGAGGGGCCTGCTCTGACGCTGAACGCCTCATCTCCTTGTGGCTTTGGTTGTGTTGTTGAGAAGTACATGGCACAGTCAACATTTGGGTGCTTTGGCTACTGGTGCCCCAGACTGTAGGCTCGGATCGTGTTGCATCTTCGAAAGAAGCAGAAAGACTTGAAGTGTGGGACATGCTGCTCTCCTGACTGGGGCTGCGAGGCAGTGACACAGACTCAAAGCTAGACTCCCCGGAGGATTGCGCTGCCTCAGCTAAGCGGAGTCTTTTCTTCTTTGGGGGCAATTTCTCTGCAGGGAGCTGGGCTAGAGTCTGGCTACGCTGTGGCCACTGAAACTCCTCCACTCTGTCTGCCACCTAGGAAGGATGAACAGTTGAGGCAAAGGGTTCAAATTGCACAAGATATATAACGTTTTAGTTGTGATAAATCATAATACCTTAGATGACGACGCAGTCACTGGTGGTGACATGGATGGCATGTCAGCATCAGGCTCCACTGTAACAAGAATCTCTGGCACTTGGATGTTGGGCTGGCGGATGAGGCGAGATGCAGAAGGTGATGGTTTTGGTTGGGGTTGTGTTTGGTGACCCTCTTGAACGTCTGAGCCCTCACTTTTCATTGAGGATGTCTCCTGCTTTTCAAAGGAGCTTGTGTGCTGGATTACAGACACACCCTTCCGATCTCGATGTTGCTGTTGTCCCGACTCTGTCTGTATAGTACCACCTATATCTACCATGAACAGAGACATGACAAATGCATCTTTAAATTATGTGTGAATTAACGATAAACTGCTTTTGAAGGATGAGGCTTTTGCATTTCATTCCATGACAAGTACTGTAGCATACATGAACATGAATGATTGGACAAGTGTATTAAAAAAAGCAACTGAAATGTTACTGTCGGTATATTCTACTATATATAATGAGAATTTAGCTGCAATTAGTAGAAAAAAGACAACTATTTTGCCACTTGGGGTATTTTATATTGCACACTGAACTTGTGCAGTCCAAAATAGTGTTTAGCTTTTCATATATATATGACTACTTCTTGAGAGAACACCATTTCTTGGTTTCTGTGGTATCAAGAGAGAATTATTATGAGGATGCAAAGTGTTATTGCTTCCACAGAATAACGTTTTATTTTTTATGCACTACAATAGCAATATGAGAGCGAACCTGAGAGTGCTTGGCTGGGTCCTGGTGGACCTGCCGCTGGAATGATGCTTGTAGAACTCCCTGACACGGTCCCAGACCCAGGACTTGGAAGATCCTCTTCTATACTCTCCTCTTTCCGCCTTTTCCTCACAGCCATCGCCAGTGCTCTGAACTTATAGTGCATCATCATCTGAGGGCGATCCTCTCTGCAGGTTTTACTTGTATCCCCACTCTCCTGTTCCAGTGTTTGCTGCCCTGAGCACACACCTTTGTGGGCCTTGTAGCTGTCACCATGCTGGAAGCTTGCTCCACATACTTTGCATTCTAATGGGTTCAATGTACTTTGTGGTGCTTGTTGCTCTGGATGGCTACCTGTGTCAGTGCCAGTGGCTGAAGAAGAGGAGTTGGGGGGAATCTCCTCCAGCATAAGTTCAGCTCCCAAAGGAACCTCAATGGCAGGTTGTCGCCTTAACATGCGGTGAGCATGACCAATATTAATCTCTGTTGTCATGGCCTGCTGCTCATCAAATGAATGGCAGAGGCGGTAGCCTCTTTTGGATCTTATTCCAGATGCAGAAGACTCTAATTGGCTGCTTGAAGATGGCATTGAGCGGCTTCTGAGAAGGGGAACTGTTGACAAGGCCAGGGTGACTGGTGGTTCTGTCTCTGGATTTTGAGGGTGCCTTAAGCCGCTGGGACCAGGGGCTTCTCCCTTGGGATCAAACACGTAGGGGTCTTTGGGGGCATTCAATTTGGGTGACTCCAGGCTACTTTTCCTTGACAGAGAAGAGCGCCTGGGCTTTACGCTATCAATCTCACTAGTGTCCACCACTGCTTCATTGATGGTTATAAGCTTTGTAATGTGTTCTATGACTTGGGTTTTAGGTACAGCAAAGGGAACACTCTTTTCCTCTGTTCCAGACAGTGAGGAAAGGGGGGACTGAGAATGCTGTGGATGTGGACTACGCTGCTGCCCTCCCAACCTTCCATATTTCCCGAGAATGATTTCTGCGTATGTTTTGGCACTGGCGCTGGGAGGGCTAACATGGGACAGGTCAGTGCTACCTGATCCAGAAAAGTAACCTGACTCTGTGCTGCCTTTACTGCCAGGGCCAAGAGAAGATGACGAGGTTGAGATGGATGAAGGAGGATCATCAGGTGAAGCCATTGGCCCACGTTTTCTTTCACTAAGCCTCAGTGCAAGCCTTTGTTTGACCGCTTGAGTATCTTCAGGCCTCTGGCTCGCCTCTGATCCTCCTGGTAGCTCCTTACCACCTTTCTTCTGCCGGGCCAAAATCTCCTTAGAAGATTTTTTGTGGTGACCTGTCTCATCTTCAGACTCGGTGCTTTCTGCCTCTGTATGCTCCTCAACATCTTCTCCAATACCACTGCAGTCTGGCCCACTCAAACTGGGCTCATCACGACTGGAGGCAAGGCCTGCCTTAATCCGGTGGGCATGGGACTTTCGGTGCTTGTATAGGTTACTCTTGGTCTTGAAAGAAAAGCCACAGGGGGCACAAGGATAAGGTCTTTCTCCTGTGTGGGAGCGAATGTGTTTCTGCAGAACACTTGGCTTGGCACATGGACGACCGCAGTAAGTGCACACATATTTCCCTGGTTTTTGGGGTTTCTTCTCTCCTTTCCTGGGAGAGCTAACCCCTTCTTTTGTCTCTTGGCTTGACTGTAAAGAGAGCTTTTGGCCATGTTCAACCTGGGTGGAGGATGGCGTGTGATGAGATGAAGTCGATGCGGAACCTGGAGAGAAAAAGCTGCCTCCTGAAGGACCTGGGTTTTCCGTGTGCTGCCATGCTACTGCTTGCTGTTGTAACCGAAGAAGATCAGCACGTTTGGGTTGGCGGTTTTGCAGTCGACCCAAAGCTCTGTGTACTGGACGAGGATTAGATGGCTGTTGGGGCTGTGGACAAGACTTAAAAGAGGATTCTGCTGTCACATGGTGCTGCTCTTGTCTTCCAGAGCGATCCCCATCACCCGGATGGCTGGGCTCAGCCTCCATAGAGTGAGGAGAAAGCCTCACAGACACACACGCAAGGGCTCTTGGAGCCTCATGGGGCTAACCACATGGCAGCAGTGAGGTCAGAGACAAGGTGTTGTGGACGGTGATGGCAAATCACACCAAAGCGCCTCGATCAGCGTGGGCCTGAAGGTATTCAAGAGGGCCAAGAGAGGCATTGTTAAAATGTGCCCTGGAGCAGCACTGATGTAAGTAAACATAGATCATCTCTTGGTATACAGCAAGTCCTCTTCTGTCCAGTTTCTGCCATCCTAACAGCCCATTCAATATCTTAACTGCATCTCCTTTGCTGGTCCCTGATAGTGTAGGTGGATGAACCTCTGAACAGTCCTACAGAAAAACAAAACAAGTATGAGTTTGTAAAATACACTATAAGTCTCTCTAAATGCTGCAAATAAGCTTGGAAAAGGGAGATCGCAATTACTGACTCTTCAAAGTTACAGTAAACTATTGAAAATGAGTTGGAACAGTGTCGGTTTATGCATGTCCACATTTGTATGTATGTATTGTTTTCTATTTATTTGAAAAGAAAATAATTCCATCTGGGAACTTGATTAACTAACCAATGAGTAGCACAGCCAGAGGGATTGAAATATATAAGTGGAGGGGGGTGTTTTCATTTGCATCAGTAAACTGAGCAAGTACGGTTGAGCCAAAGTGTACTTTGAAGACCTTTTCTGCATAACACATATGCAAGACACGGCTGAACAGCCAGAACTTCTGTGGAATAAAATAAGGCTGTGGATTTGATGTACAGATCGGCGTACAAGGATTTTTTTAAAAAACAAATACTGTGTTATCATGTCAACCATTTACCATCTACCATTCAAGGTTTGGTGACATTATTTGTTATTTCAGCCAAAGCAAATGAATCTTCACTCAACTCTTTGGCACGACACATTCTAGGTAGTTGATAGGAATATTTTTCCTTGCTTTAGCAACAGATGTCCATGGGTGGCAGTGCACGTGCTCCCTAGTCTTTATAAGCACATGTGTAGATTAGGACACATGGGAGTAGAATGTTTTTACCACACTCATACTCTCAAACACGACACTCGTTTACTGACTGACCCAACAGGACAACAGAAGGGTGAAAGGTCATTAGGACGAATGTCAAGATGTGTACGTCATAGATGAGCGTACGCAACAGAAGGTCGAAGGAGGGACAGCACAAAAAGAGTAGCGCATCTTTTCCGAGAATAACAGTAGTTATTCAGGGACTAGGCGATCAGAGTCTAAATGTGATGATCATTCATATATCTGTTGATGCAGAAATTTAAACAGGATGATGAGTTACGCTTTTTTAAGGTTTGGGAGAGCTTCTATTATTCATGGAATCTGGTCTGCCTGCTCTGAGTGGGGGGGAAACACTGAGGGCTTTGCCAGAGAGATGAGGGGAAGGAATGCCTGAGTGGAGCCTCCGCATGATGCCAAAACATACACTTATGCGCGCGCACACACACACACACACACACACACACACACACACACACACACACACACACACACACACACACACACGTAGCCTGCCTACAGTAAGTAAAGCCCCCACAAGACCATGTCCTACGTCCAGACTGCAGTCTCTATATTGACTGTGACAGCCAACCAGCTGCAGTGTCCTGTGGTGACCCCTGATAGCCGTTTAATGTGGGGAAATGTACTTTATCATATTAGTATAACAGGAATCACCTATTATCAATGGTGCCTACTGCATACGGCACACACAATGGGCCCGATTCACTAAGATGCCTAATAGTGCTCAATTGCGTGTTCACTCAAATAGATTGTGCATCATCCACTGAGGTTGCGATCGTTTACTCAAGTCCCAAACATCAGGTGCTAAACTGAATGTTTTCGTCCTTTAAAAGATGATGCCCACTGTTGGCAACAGGTGTAAAAGAGGCGGAGACCGGCAAATTTAACTCTGGGCAGGGTTGGGAGTGTCACTTTAAAAATGTATTCCAATACAGCTACTACTTACCCGTTAAATACTGCAGTAATGTAATCCAAATACCACAATATTACAAAGTAAATTAATGTAACTACATTAATATGAATTACATTTGACGTATTGCAATAGCAAATAGGGTCATGAGGACATAATAAATTAAATGTCACTACAATATCTAGTTCTTGTGTATTAGTCTCGTCTTTTTGGTCTCGTAAATGTTTCACAACATGCATGGTTTTGGATTGAAGGAGGATGCCGGAGCACCCAGAATTCAGATCCAAAAATCTCAGAACTATTATGCAGATGTACTAACTACTTGCTGACTGTGTTATAAATAGCAACGTAGCTAGATAGCTAAACAAGAGGGCACACAAAACACATGGTAATCATGATACGTTGATGATGACGATATGTGACGCAGGCCACAAAAAAACAAAACAAACAAAAAAAAAACACTCTTATTCCCGGTGAAAAGTTCAGTCATCTTTAATTAATATGGTGTTTAAAGAGTAAATCTTTGAGTGATTAGTGACACAAGGTAAATCGTTATCGTAAATCGATTCTAAAAAGATTTGTTTGTGACAGCCCTTGGCTCTCCAAGTGAGCCTTTGGATTATTTCAATGCTCCAAAACTGCATTGCTGAACAGATAATAAGTCACGATCATTCTTGTTTATGGCATTTCAAAAATCGTTCGATAGTTCTCACCGCTACCTCACATTTGCCCGCGGTACACCGGCACCGTGGTGTGTGTTCTTTGCACCTGCCATCGCGGTTTGTTCATTCCCTGTGTTAAATTGTGTTAAATTCGTCTATTTACATATACTCCTGCAGAACGTAGAAAGTTGATGCTGCAAAATTGTATCAAATGATGTTCCGATTCAATTTTGGAGAGAATCCTCCCACTGACATTTAAGACTTTAGAAAAAATGTAGCCCCCACAACCCCAAAGGTTTTTTCAATAAATACACAATTCACACTTTGTGCCAAATCAAACATGCTGTATGTGTTAATGCGTTCCAGTTCAAAAACTGAAATAGCAAATCCCCAGATTGCCCACACCAAAAGGCATTTCATTCATTCATTCAATACTTTCAAACAACTTTATTGACATTGTCTGTAAAACCTCGGATCAGTTGGTTATTTAGTGTGCGGATGTGAAATCCTATTACAGATTGTTCAGTGGATGAAATATTAACCACCCCCCCCCCCCGCGGGCA